CTATAGCCGCCACACAAGACTCCCAGTCATCACCCACCCAGGGAAAGTCCCAAACAGCTGGTAGCCTCCCCAAGAAAGAAACCGAATTTCACACAACCTCTAAAACTGAGATTGAAACCAAAATTGGCCCACGGCAGGGCACATCCTTCACGCTGCCAGCTCCCGTGACACGGCTTAGCCCCTTCGTGCCCTTCCTTCCTCTGTGTCTCACATCTCATGCTCTCAGCCTTCCCCTTCCATTGTCCCTCCATTTCCTTCTTCTCTGACCCAAATCTCACTCTTCCCCACCTCTCTCTCCCTCCTTAATTGCAATGCCATTTTCCCATTTTAATACGGTTTGGCCAGGATCTCAGTCCATTGGCTACCACCATTTAAGAGGCAGAAACAACAGGAAGCATAAAGATTCCCAGGGAAAGAGGAAGACAGAAAAGGAACCAAAGATGTCACAAACAATGACTAGATTAAAATTCGGTCCTAGAGAATGCAGCCAAGATAGAGGGTGCTTGCCCAGCATGCTCCAGGCCATGGTCCCCTTGCCAGCACTGCCAAGGATCAAAAGAACAAGAAGACAAAGTATTACAGAGGCTGGTTTTGTTGTTGTTGTTGTTACAAAGTGTCTCCTGTAATCCACGTAGCTAAATCTGACCTTGAATTTGAATCAGGAAAGCCTTCTGCCTTTACTTCCCAAGTGTTAGGATTACAGGCGTGCATCACCACCAGTTAACATGGAACTAGGAACAGAACCCAGGGTTTCCTGCGTGCTAGGCAGGAGCTCTACCAACTGAACCACATCCCCAAACCTGAAAGAGGCCTTTATGTGTTTCCTTCCTCCTTTATACCTGGGCAGCCACCAGCACTGTAGGCTCTGCTGGAAGCACTTTCTCCCAAGGGCCACCTCTACCTAGATGTGACACCCATCGTCTCCTAGCTGGGTCGTTGTAAAGTGCTCTTCACCATGGTGACCTCAGGCCCCTCCATTCTTCCCGTGTCCAGACTGTTTTATCGTCGCAATGTAGGTGGATCTCTTATTTAAATTTGCTGGAGGCTCTCAGAATGAGATTTAAATTCCTTTCCTTGGTGTTAAACCCTGCAGGTGTGTTTTCTGCTTACCCACACGTATTTCTTTTTTTGGTTTTTCGAGACAGGGTTTCTCTGTGGTTTTGGAGCCTGTTCTGGAACTAGCTCTTGTAGACCAGGCTGGTCTCGAACTCACAGAGATCCGCCTGCCTCTGCCTCCCAGGAGTGCTGGGATTAAAGGCATGCGCCACCACCGCCCGGCCCCCACACGTATTTCTGTCGCTTATTTCAGATGTACCCAGATGCACACTTCAGCCCACGAGGGCTCTCTCACCTTGAGTGCTCCTCCCCACCTTCCTTACCTTCCTACATAATGCCCCCAGTTCCGTGGATTTCCTGTGGGCTGCCCTGCCAAGGTCATGAAGCATAACCATTCTCCACTAAACTTGAGATCCCGGAAGCCAGGGAAGCGCTGTTGAAACTGTCTCCTCGGTTCCTTGTGCCGGGTGCGCAGTGTTTGTGGGATGCAGAGGACACCGAGCAGATTGTACGTGTACGAGAACGGGAGCTCACAGCGCATGCCCCCAAAGCATGGAGCCTGAGCATGCTGGGAACTCCAGAACGAGTATGAGATCTGAGAAGCGGCACCAAGTCTTTCAGCTTGTCGAGCCTTCTGTTCTGCCCGCATCTTCCGCCTAGGCAAGCCATCGAAACTAGAATTCCTCTTTACCAGCGTGGGTCGTAGAGACCAGAATCCTCCTTTTTCCATGACCTAGAAGTGTTGCCCTTCCCTTCCCCCACCTTTCTGTGTAAGAACCAGTCTTTGAGAAAATTTCTGCCAGGTGGTGGTGGGGGCGGCAGCGCATGCCTTTAATCCCAGCACTCCGGAGGCATAGGCAGGCGGATCTCTGTGAATTCAAGGCCTGGTCTACAGAGAGAGTTCCAGAGTTCCAAACTACACAGAGAAACACTGTCTTGAAAATCAAAAGAAAAAAAGAGTCTGATCCTGGGTCACAAGCCTCATTCAGCAGGGTCCTGCCCGATTCTGAGGAGGAAGGGCTGCTCATCAGAACACCCATGGGGAAGCTGAGCAGGCAGAATCAGCTTATCTTCCCACGCAGTCACTCGGGCCTGAGAACAGCAGCGTGCCCAGTGACCAGCCTGGCGGCCAGCACTGCCAGCTGCAGCCCCTTCAGCAGCCCGACTGCACAGCCAGCGGCGGCAGCTGTGTGAGGCTGCCGTCCTTTACCGCAATCCCAGAAAACATGACCAAAACAGCTTCTCACAAACTTTGCTCTTCGAAAGCTGTAACTAACAAGCTGAGTGAAAACGGGCTTAAGCTCACAGGTTTTCTAATCCATGTTTTTACGTCAGACAAAAGCCAGAAGCAAACCCCATGGCCATCGCCAGTGTCCTGTCCAGTTGTCACAGCCAAGAGCTACCAGCAAGGGGGCTTCAATGAGGGGTGGGCCATGTTAGAGGCTGTGCGAATGCCTGTGGGGTGTTAATTGAGGGCCCAGGCCATCTTCCGGATGGTGCTGCTGGATCGTCTGAGAAAGCCAGATAGACTACACGTGGAGGCATACACCCTTAATCCCGCACTCCGGAGGCAAAGGCAGGCACTTTCTGTGAGCTCAAGGCTAGCCTGATGTATGTATTGAGTTCCAGGCCAGCTAGGACTATGTAGTGAGACCCTGTCTAATGTAAATATGTGTGAGTGTATGTGAGTATACATATATAATAATAATAATAAATAACTGTTAAAACAATAAAATTTTTTTTAAGAAAAGCAAAATATGGGTGGTGGTGCACGCCTTTAATCCCAGCACTCGGGAGGTAGAGGCAGGTGGTTCTCTGTGAGTTCAAGACCAGCCTGGTCTACAAGAGCTAGTTTCAGGATAGGCTCCAAAAGCTACAGAGAAACCCTGTCTCAAAAAATTAACAAACAAAAAGACAAAAACAAACAAAAATATAAGAAGAAGAAGAAGAAGAAGAAGAAGAAGAAGAAGAAGTTGTTCTAAGACAGACGAAAAGGTAGGCCAGGAAGATGGCTCAGTGGGTAAAGGTGAGTGCCACCTTTACCTAATGGCCTGACCCCCGGAATCCACAGGGCAGAAGGAGAGAACCAACTCCAGAGAGTTGTCCTCTGACCTCCACATGTGGTCCATGGCACTTCCTTGCACTCACGTGCACACACACAGAATAAATAAATATAGTTCTAAATGTTATGTTGTGTATGGGAATTGGCCTGCACCTATGTTTCTGCACCACGTGAGTGTAGTGCCTGTCAAGGCCAGACGAGGGCATCAGATCCCCCAGACCTGGAGTTACAGATATACTAAGCCAACATGTAGGTGCTGGGAACTGAACACTGGTTCTTTGGAAAAACAGCCAGTACCCTGCACTGCTAAGCCATTTCTTCAGCCCTCAAAATAAATAAACATTTTAAGATATTGTTTTAAGAAAAAAAAATCTGGGAATGTGGGATGGACACACAGCTGGCAGGCAAGCTACCTGAGCTGTACCCCAGGCCCTTCGGACAGTGAGGGCTCCTCAGGTGCTGCTTCTAGACAAGACCCTGTGGAGAAATCTGAAGGACTCTGACCTGCAGGGAATGAGCTGGGGCCTTACTCTATATGGGAGTGGTGGGCTGTAATTGAACTCCCCCCCACCATCTTCCAGACCTGGACATTCTAAGGCAGTGCTTCTCAACCTTCCTAACGCTGTGACCCCATTAAGACAGTTCCTCACGTTGTGGTGACCCCAACCATAAAATTATTTTCATAACTGCGATTTTGCTACTGTGATGACTCATAATGTAAATAGTTTTTGAAGATAGAGGTTTGCCGAGCGGGTTGCAACCCACAGGTTGAGAACCACTGCTCTAGGGAGTAAGAGGGTGCCAGACCATGGGGGATACCTAGTGGAACTTCATGCCATGAAACTGACAGAGGCCAGAAAATAAGTTTACCGGAGCAAGTGTGACTTGAACCCTCAAAACCAACAGAGGAAGAGGGGTCTAGGTCCATGGCAGAAGGCTTGTCTTGCATACATTAGACCCTGGGTTCAAACTTGAAAAAAAAAAAAGGTGTCACTAGCCACATGTGGCTACCGAGCCCTCCAGATGTGACCAGGGAGGATGGAGAAGGAAACATGCAGAGAAGCCCGTGAGCAGCCAAGGGTGCAGACGTGTTACAAACCACTGCTCTTCAGGGAACCCGGCTTCCAGCCACAGCCCAGCTGTAAGCTCTCGTTCTCCACGAACTGCCTGTCCCTTGCCTGGAACTCCCGGGCCTGACCCTGCTCCCTGATAGTCCCTGCAGCCCACAGTTCCCCTGACCCAACTCCCTTTCCCAGAACTCAGTAGTCTGAGCCCCTAACCTGTGGCCTAAGCCTTTCCTGCCTTCAACTGAAACAGTAGCATCTTCTAAGCCCTGGGGGCTTCCCCAGGCCCCAGCCCCGACCTAGAACCCGCCCGCTGCCTGCCACACTGCCGCTTCCTCTATAAAGGGACCCAAGCGCCAGCGCCCAGGACCCCGCACAGCAGGTGAGCCTCTCCTGCCCCATCTCCTTGGGCTTACCCTGTTGCAGGCATCCCTCAGGATCCTGCCTCTTTATTTGGGCCCCAGCCCTTCCTGTACAAGCTGCCTGGATCCCCAGCCTTGTTGGGACTGTGGCTTTGACTTTTGGTCTGTTCCCCGTGGTGTCAGTCGCTCTCTCTGTCCCTGTCACCCACTGTCTGATTCTTCTGTGGTTCTTTCCTCGTCCAGTCTCTGGCTCTTTCTCTTTCTCCCTACCCACCGCACGCTTCAGGCAGGGTTCCCCTGCTTGTATCTTGTCCCCTTCTCTTGTCTCTCGCCCTGTATCTCAGGGTAGCTGTCTCAACTGGGAGGTAAGATCTGTCTTCCGCTGTGTGCCCCGCCTCCCTGATGCACACACTCTCTCTCCCTCTCTCTCTCTCTTTCTCTCTGCAGGTTCTCTCCATGACACCACTTGGACGCCTCTACCTCTTGAGGGTGCTTAGCGCCCCCCCTGTCTTTCTTCTGGGACTGCTGCTGGCCCTGCCTCTAGGGGCCCAGGTGAGGCAGCAGGAAAATGGGGGTGCATTGCTGGGGTGGCCTAGCATACCCGGAGTCTTAGAATCCTCTCAACTCTGTTGTCTCCTAGGGAGTCTCTGGTGCTCGGTTCTCAGCTGCCAGGACGGCACATCAGGCCCCTCAGAAGCATCTGAGTCATGGCATCCTGAAACCTGCTGCTCATCTTGTTGGTAAACTTCTGCCTCCAGAGATCCAGTCCCTGGCTCTCCTTCTGCCAGCCCAGGGGTCCAAGTGATCACCCCATCTCCCCACCTAAAGATAGGCATCCCCCCAAATCCATCCTATTGTCCAGTGCCTGATTCCTCCGGGATGGTGACTTCTGACCTTGACCCTCAACACCTTATAACCTTTTCTAGGATACCCCAGCAAACAGAACTCACTGCTCTGGAGAGCGAACACAGACCGTGCCTTCCTCCGACATGGCTTCTCCCTGAACAACAATTCGCTCCTGGTCCCCACCAGTGGCCTCTACTTCGTCTACTCCCAGGTGGTCTTCTCAGGGGAAAGCTGCTCCCCCAGGGCCATTCCTACTCCCATCTACCTGGCCCACGAGGTCCAGCTGTTTTCCTCCCAGTACCCCTTCCATGTGCCTCTCCTCAGTGCACAGAAGTCCGTGTATCCAGGGCTACAAAGACCGTGGGTACGCTCAATGTACCAGGGGGCTGTGTTCCTGCTCAGTAAGGGAGACCAGCTGTCCACGCACACAGACGGCGTCTCCCACCTGCACTTCAGCCCCAGCAGTGTATTCTTCGGAGCTTTTGCTCTGTAGAATCTAGAAAATCCCAGGATTGGTTTCCAAGCCTCCGTTCTGACCATTTTAAGGGCCACACCACCTCTCCTTTGCCTGTGCCCACAGTCTCAAGCCTTCCCCACCAAAAACACTCAGAGCTTTCACAGGAGTCTGGGGCACGCCAGAGGAACCAACCTCAGATGCTCAACTGAGGATTCAAGCCTGCCTACAAGTCCGACACAGAGCAGGGTCTATGTGGGTCTGGTGGGGCAGAGACCTGGACGTGAAGGAGGGGCAGATGTGGGGAGATGCCTGGGGACAGGGAAGGGAGGCTATTTATGAAGGGAAAGGTTAAGTTATTTATTTATGGAGAATAGAACGAGGAGAGAAATTGAGAGGCATCGGATGACAACCAGGTTCCAGACACAAAGAGTAAGGTGGCATCAGGACAGGACTCGTCGAAGGGAGAGAGAAGCAGGTGTGAGTGACCAAGGGGTTTAGAAGGAGGCACAAGGCTCTGAGCGCACTGTTTGGCTAGACACCACAAGGAGATGTCTGCACCATCAATGGCGCCCAATAAACCTCTTTTCTCTGAGATTCTGTCTGCTCGTGTTTGTTCAGGTTTGGGGGAGACTCTTCCTTGTCTGTTGAAGGGATGGAGTAGGGGACATGGGGTGTAGGCAGAACAAGGAGATGTAAAGGAGCCGGCAGCTCCCAGATACATGGTGGACTTGTGGGAGTCAGCGCCTACCTGACGGCGGCAGGGAACCAGAGGGTAAACCAGGGAGATCAAGCCAGGGGAGCAGAGAGTTTGGAGGACCAGACAAGAGGGTGGGAGAGTGCCCGGGTGGGTGGGAAAGGGACCCATCTGAAGATGGAGACATAAGAGTGGGAGAAACTGTGGAAGCAGGGGTGCGCAACATGGATGTCTAAGGAGACAGGAGACGGGGCCACACATCAAGACTACACGGCAGAGGCTTTATGAAAGAAAAAGAAAATCCTTTGGAAGCCGAGACTGAAAGCAGCAGTAGGAGCCGAGGTCAGAATGAAAGGAGAAGGCTTGCCTCGTGGGGTCTGTGAATTTCCAGGACTGAGTTCATTCCCTCAGGGGCTGTCCCATGCTTGTCCCAACCACTGCCACCAGCCCTCCCAAAGCCCATGCACACTCCACTCTCAAGCTGCTTGGCCCTCAGCCACTTCCTCTCAAGAACCCAGAGGGCTTCCCTCTCCAACAGCAATTTCTCCCCCCCTCACGCACCCAGCTGTCAGAAGCACCCCCAGTGCCAGCTTCTACCCCCATGGAGGTCCCATCTAGAAATCAAAGGGAGATAGGCCCAGGTGTGGTCTCCCTGCAACGAAACAGACATTTCTTGGCACTAGACGGCAGGGAGGAAATGGCCTTCAGCTCCCAGGGTCCTGCACGCACAGTTCGTGATTGGCCCAAGATTGCCACAGAATCCTGGTGGGGAGGGGGAGGAGATTCCTTGATGCCTGGGTGTCCCCAACTTTCCAAACCTCTGCCCCCGCGATGGAGAAGAAACCGAGACAGAAGGTGTAGGGCCACTACCGCTTCCTCCACATGAGATCATGGTTTTCTCCACCAAGGAAGTTTTCCGCTGGTTGAATGAGAGCATTTCCCCGCCCTCTTGCCCAAGGGCTATAAAGGCAGCTGTCTGCACACCCGGCCTGCAGAAGCTCTCTCAGCGAGGACACCAGGGGACCAGCCTGGAGGAAGAACAGCGACTCCAGAACACCCAGAAAATAGCTCCCAGGAAAGCAAGCAGCCAGACAGGCAGGTTCTGTCCCTCTCACACACCGGCCCAAGGTTCCACATCTCCCTCTGGAAAGGACACCATGAGCACAGAAAGCATGATCCGCGATGTGGAACTGGCAGAGGAGGCACTCCCCAAAAAGGCGTGGGGCCCCCAGAACTCCAGTCGCTGCCTGTGCCTCAGCCTCTTCTCCTTCCTGCTTGTGGCAGGGGCCACCACGCTCTTCTGTCTGCTGAACTTCGGAGTGATCGGCCCCCAAAGGGAAGAGGTGAGTGCCTCGGAAGCCTCCGTCTCACTTAGGCAGAAGCAGGGCCGGAGGGCATGAGAGGGAGTGAGGTGGGCAGACGGGCACAGGTAGTGTGGAAGGGTAGAGGGGCAGCCCATGTAGCGATGGTGGAAAGAGAAAGACGAGAGACAGGACCTCTGACCCATGCAGCCAGTTCACTAGGCTTCTGTTCCGTGGCTGCGTGGAGGAGCGAGTGAATGAAAAGGCGTGTATACAGATGTAGAGATGCAGGGGAGAGGTGGGATGCTTATACAGATGTAGAGATGCGGGGGAGAGGTAGGATGCGGCCAGAAGAGGGAAGACGTGAGCGATAATTACAGGGAGATAGTGATGAGGGAGGCGTGAGTGATAAGGAGAGAGATGAGGGGAGATAACAGGAGACATGGCACGGAAGATGCTCCACGGAAAGATGTTGCGTGGCTGGACAAGTGGACGAACAAAGGATGAGTGGACACGGGGGTAGAGAGAGAGAGCTGGGGGCTTCTCCTTTGTGGGTGACTCCCCAGCGACTGGCTACTAACCTTGTCTTTCTATTCCTACACAGAAGTTCCCAAACAACCTCCCTATCATTGGCTCCATGGCTCAGACCCTCACCCTCAGTAAGTAACCCCACTCTCTTCTCTTAACTTAGGGTGGGGGCAATGAGACCTGGGATGGAAGCAGTGGGGAGAACTTAAAGCTTGGTTTTGGAGGAAAGGAAATAGGGGTTCAAGTAGACAGGTGCTTGCTGGGAAGCCTAGAGGTCTCACCTTTGCCTTTCTTCGTTCCCCTTCAGGGTCATCTTCTCAAAATTCGAGTGACAAACCTGTAGCCCACGTTGTAGGTAAGAGCTCTATTGAGTGTGTGCACCTTGGGGGTGAAGGGACAGGATCTGGGGGTCGAGCCAGGTGAGAGGAGACAAGAGCTTGGGGTCAGAGGGGGGGTGACTCCAAAGGAAGAACTTAGTGGGGGTACCCAGGACCTCGCGGCCAATGGGTTGTGGGAACACAGAGGGTGCAGGAACCGGAAGTGAAGAGTGGGTAGAACGCGTGGCTCAGGATGTGGAGTGTGAACTAACACAGTCACCCTGACTCAATTCTCCCTCCCTCAGCAAACCACCAAGTGGAGGAGCAGCTGGAATGGCTGAGCCAGCGTGCCAATGCCCTCCTGGCCAATGGCATGGATCTCAAAGACAACCAGCTGGTGATACCCGCAGATGGACTGTACCTCGTCTACTCCCAGGTTCTCTTCAAGGGCCAAGGTTGCTCCAGCTACGTGCTCCTCACCCACACCGTCAGCCGCATTGCTGTCTCCTATGAGGACAAAGTCAACCTCCTGTCTGCCATCAAGAGCCCCTGCCCCAAGGAAACCCCTGAGGGGGCTGAGCTCAAGCCCTGGTATGAGCCCATCTACCTGGGAGGGGTCTTCCAGCTGGAGAAGGGCGACCGACTCAGTGCTGAGGTCAACCTGCCCAAATATTTAGACTTTGCAGAGTCTGGGCAGGTCTACTTTGGTGTCATAGCTCTGTGAGGCAGATGGATGTCCACCTATTCTCTACCCCGCCCCCACTTCGATCCCCAAAGCCCTCGTCCATCTCCTTCTAACTTAGAAAGGGGATTATGCTCAGGGTCAGACTCTGAGCTCGGAACTTTCAGCAACTCTAACACTCAGAAACACAAGCTCCTGGGATAGCAGCCTAGATTGTGGGGTTCCAGAATCCACTGGAGCCTCAAATGTTGATTCCTGAGTTCCGCCAAGGGGGCTCAGGCTACCTCTGGCTCAGAGTGCTGCCAGAGAAAATCTCAGGCCTTCCTGTCTTCGGATGCTCCCCAACCCTTCAGTGCCCAGCCTTCCTCACAGAGCCAGCCCCTCTATTTATGATCGCACTTATGATTATTTATTTATTATTTATTATTTATTTATTTGCTGTTGTATGTATTTATTTGGGAGGCCAGGGTGTCCTGGAGGACCCAGCGTTGGGAGCTATCTTAAGATAGACTTGTTTTCTGTGAAAACAGAGCTGAACCCATCAGCCACTCCCACCTGGCCTCCTGGCCTCATTGCCTCTTTTTTGCTTATGTTTAAAACGAAGTATTTATCTAACCCAAGTGTCTTAATAATGCTGATTTGGTGACCAGGCTGTCGCTACATCGCTGAACCTTTGCTCCCCACGGGAGCCGTGATTGTAACCGCCCTACGGGTCAGTGTAAAAAATAAAGATTGCTTGAAAATGAAATACAGTTTCTTTCCTGGGATTAAATCTGCATCTCTCTCTCTCTCTCTCTCTCTCTCTCTCTCTCTCTCTCTGGAGGTGGGAAACCAACCCCTAATGTCTTCCCTCCGGAGGCATAAGGTCTTTGGGTCCAGATCTGAGACTTTACAGTCCTGGCCCTTAAGACCCCATGGAACAAAAACCAGCCAACATTCCCCACCTGTCCCCGGAAACAGGAGCCTAAACCTAATTATCTTTGCCTATAGGCATGGGAATTTCCCACTCTGGGAATTCCAAATACCTGCTGGGAAAGTACTGCAGTTCTTTCCGGCTGTTGAGGCTGGGATGAGCTGGGGAGGAGCCACATTCTCAGGTACCTGAATCACAGCCAAGGAAGTTCCAGATTCAGGTGTCTGGGCTCCAAACACTAACTGTGCACCCTGAACCATTCAGCCTGCCCCTCTGCCCCTGAACAGAGACAGAGCGGGCACGGTCTGTGGGGAGAAGGCCTAACCTTCATCTGTTCCCCATTCTCTACTGGGCAGGGCGGGCTCAGCTGCATTCCGTGCTGGACAGAGTTCCGTGCTGGACAGAGTTCTGTGAAGGACAGGGCAGGCTCAGCCAGCTCTTCCTCCCTCCCAGCCATTAGCTGCCTGTTCTTTGCATCCTCTGAAGATGAGAGAAAAGTTTTTAAAAGACGAACGGCTAAAAGTGTGGTTCTGCAATGTGTGTGTGTGTGTGTGTGTGTTGTGTGTGTTGTGTGTGTGTGTGTGTGCTTAGCGTATGGGATGTCCTGAATTCAAACCCGAGACAGCAACAACAAAGAGAGAGGTACTCCGTGGGTGAAGGAGCCATTGCCAGCTTTGGTTTCACCAGTGTTTGGACAAATGATGACTACAGGAGGTGGGTGGGTTAGAAAGAGAAAAACACCTTGTTTAAATACTTTGTTGTTTTTTTTTTTTTAAAAATTACTTAATCATACATGCAGGGCCTTGGATTAGATCCCAACACCAACAATAATAAGAGTAATGATAATAATAATAATTCATTATTGTTGTTGTTGTTATTCAATAGTACTTGCTGGAGCATGTAGGCTGACTTTATTCAGAATCACAGTTATCGGAGCAGAGACTTGCTGGAGAGCGTGCAGCGAGAGCAAGCGGGCCGTAAGAGGCAGAGCGGGGTGGGCGTTGGGAATGGCGAAGGACTAAGAGGAAAGAGAGTGAGGGGTAGGGGACTCTGTCTAAACAGATCAGACGAGGCGCCTGTTGAGACAAGCCAGGTGATCAGACATCGCTCCAGGGACTGCGGAGGATGACGGGGCTGATCAAATATGGGAGAGGGAGCTTGCTAAACTGACTTAATGGGGTTTTTCACTAAAACTAAGTTTTACAGGGAAGGCAATGACTAGGTGGAGAGACTCAGAAGGCTGGCTAGAGCTTGGCAGAGTTGGTCACCCTCTCACCCTGGAAGGCCCTTGGGCAGGCAAGCAAAGACAGTGAAGGAGTGGGTGTGTAGCCATGCCTTTAATCCCAACACTCAGGAGCAGGTAAATCTTTGTGAGTTCAAGGCCAGTCTGGTCTACATAGAAAGTTCCAGGCTAGCCAGGGCTGCATACTGAGACCCTGTCTGAAAAAGAAAGAAAGAAGGAAAGAAAGAAGGAAGAAAGGAAGGAAAGAAAGGAGGAATTAAAAGTGGACCCCCAAGAGTGGCAGCCCTAATTGGGCTCACAGTTGGTTGGGTCTTTCTTCACCCCAGTAGCCAGAAAGGGGAAAACCAAGCACGTGGTTTCGTGCAGGGTGGTGGGTGACCCACTAGGGTGACCTACATAGAGCCTTGGGTTCTCCTTGGCCTCCTCCAGCCGTGGCGTGGGGGGCTGCAGTTACTCATCTTAGGGGCCTCCCACTTGCCCAACTTTGGGGTGCCTCAAGTGTGAACTAGGGGTGAGGACTTTCCGTTTCTTTCTAGAAAGGACCCCAGGGCATCTCCTTCCTCCGTGCAGCTCCTCCTCAGGGACCAGTCTCCACCCACTCCCTTCTCCCTGCCATTCACTTCCTTAGTCTGCCCCTTAGTGTGCCTGGGACTGCCCTGACCCCTCCTCAAAGAATGGGCTATCAGAGACCCTGGAGGCAAACACCTTTAATTCCAGCACTCAAGATGCAGAGGCAGGTGGATGACTGTGAGTTTGAGGTCAGCCTGGTCTACTAGTGAGTTCCAGAAGAACCAGGGCTACATATGACACCCGGTCTCAAAACAAACAAAACCAAATAAAAGCTGTCAGGCAGGTAGCAGCGGTAAGCTAATGGGCCCACAGTGCTTTGTCTTCGGTCTTCTGGGATTTTTCTCTCTGGGAACGAACTTTCTTTGTGTTGATGCTTCTCACAGTGAGGCAGAAGCCAGGAGAAAAGGAGGATGTGAGGGGCTCCTGGACCAGGATGCTAAGGGGAAGTCTCCGGCTTTAACTGTCCCTTCTCCCCTCCACCTGAACCCGTGGTGTTAGAGCCAGGGGGCGGACACATCAGGTGTCCACCGTTCAAAGCTAAGCCATCCACCCCTGCACGGCTACCCAGAATCAAACCACGTCTGCATCTCCGAGACGACGCTGGCACGCGCCAGCATGGTTTACATTCTTTATTTCCAAAATCCATGTCCTACAGCCCCCGCCCCCATCATGGGGTCCCAGGCTCCCCGACTCTCCGGACATCGTGATTCACACATTCGCACGGTCAGCCGATCCTCCAGGGCTGCAGTCGGCTGTCACCCCACCATCACCGCCCCGAAGAAGGTCTTCCCTCTCCTGTAGTCCACTTTGTCCGGGTGACTGATGTTGACATACACCCTCTCGCCGCTCCGGAGCTGCACCAGGCCGCCGAACCCCACGCTCGTGTACCACAAAGACGAGTACCCGCCGGAATTCACGGTCTCCGCCCCCTCTAGCAGCAGCTCCGGGGAGCCCCGCCCGTAGGCGCCCCCCGCGCGGTACAGGGCGCTGCGCAGTGTGAGCGAGCGAGCGCTGCTGCGGTCGGCAGGGGTCGCCCTGCCCCGGTACCCGACGTGGCAGTAGAGGTAATAGATGCCGTCCTGCGGCAGCGCCAGCCCGTCGGTGCGGGAGAACTGCGCCCCGCTTCTCAGAAACGCTTCCTCTTGGCTCGCCTCCCAGCCGAGCCCTTGCCCGCTCATCCATGCGCCTGCAGAGAGGGACAGGCGTGAGCTCTCGGGCCGTGGTCTCTAGGTTGGGGGATCCGGGTCGCGTGAGCCGGGACCCAGAGCGGAGGGGCGGGTCTTTTTCACTTGGCCATACTCAGCGGGGAGGGGCAGGGATAAGGAGGCTACCTCCCGGGGGACTAAGGTGGCCAGATCCTGGCGGGGTTTTGTTTCCTTCCAGAGAAGTCAGACAGAGAAAAGACTGGGACGGGTGGAGGCTGCAGGGGTAAAGGTGGTGGGGAGTGGGAACGCGCCCGCCGTGTCACAGCAGAGCCAACAGACCCTCGCTCGCTGTGGGGGTGCTTAGCTGGACTTCAGGTCTAACAGATGCTTACCAATGAGATGGGCAGCAGGAAGATTGTGACTGAGGTCAGTTTCTGGCTCCCGCTTTGGCAGCCGTTGAACCCCTGGATCCACGACTGGAGACAGGGTGGTTCCCCATGCTGATGCCTCCTGAGGGAACTGTGCAACAGGCCCTTGAGATGGGGAGCCTAGATTCCTGGAAGAAGAGGGTATCTCGGGACGCAGACGGGGGTCAGGAGTCCCCGAGAGGCGGGAAGGTGAGGGCAAGAGGCAAGATGGTTTACTGTCATCCCGTCTTTTTTGAGCCTGTGCTCCTGAGCCAGCGATCTTCTCAACCTGGATGGTAGGTAGGGTCACAATGCCCAGAGTTCAGATTCAGCTGATGGCAGCTCCACACCTCCCAGCATAGAGCCCAGCCCTAGAGCTACCTCCAGCACCCTGCCAGGCATGCATCTTGCTGGAAGGCAGAGCAAACAAAACATATGTTCTTGGGCAGCAAGACAGGCGCTGGGTATCAGGAAGAGACTTGCAACATCAGGGTAGGACCGCACGGAGAGCAGGCAGAGACAGACCAGACATGCCCTCTAGCGAGAGCCACCAGCTGAACTAGGGAGGCAAAAGCACAGAGGTCAATGAACGTCCACAAGATGCAGCCCTCTGGCGCCTGTTGCAGCCACTCACCGGTCGTCCCTGATCCTGGGGCACCAAGGCCAGCACAGCAAGGACAGTGATGGGCACTGCCAACAGCAGGGTGACCAGGGAAGTAGCTCCTGCCACAGCCAGCAAGAGGCAGCCCCTCCCTTGGGGCCTCCCACCCGGGCCCTGTAGCCCCCGTGTCCCCATCCAGACTCAGCACTAGGAACCGGGGGACAAGGGCTTTCATACCTCAGGGGTAGGGCCACCCCCTCCCTGCAGACCCACACACCTGCTGGGGACTTTCCGCACACCCCTGCTCCCCTCACACAACTTCCTGTTTACCCGGAGCTGGGGTCAGGGTGGGGAGGCTGGATGCCTAGGTTCTCTGAACTGGGGAAGGAGATGTGGCAGAAAGAGTTTTTCAAGGTAAAGGTGAAGGGGGACTTAGCAGGAAACCCAGGGAAGGAAGGTGGCTTGCAGAAGGCCAGACAACGAGATTGTAAAGGCCAGGCAGGATTCCAGGTATTTCATGTGGTCTGCATGCTCCTGGACCTCACAGGCCAGTGCTGGACGGAGGGCTGCACACACACACACACACAAACACACACACACAAACACACACACACACACACACACACAGGTTAGGAGATGTAGTAGGAGGCCACATCGGGGCAGCTGCGCGTCTGTACCCTGAGATGGCCCTGTCTCCATGGCTGGCCTCTTCTATTTTCACCACCAACACTATGTAGGAAGGGCAGGATTCATCCGGTCCACAGTGATAGGACTTCGTGAAGAGGCCTCAGCCTTGCTCTCTCTGGAGAAGAATGGTGGGAACATTTACACTGTGCCTCATCCATTCGGAAGCATTCGCTAAATGGATGAGCGAATTAGCAATTCATTGGATTTAATGAATCAAATCAATGGAAGAGGTGGCAGCTGATTGGAGCCCAAGGATGACTAGGTGTAAGGAAGTTGGCTGGACCAAGATCTCAGGTCATCTCCCCTTCCTGATGGCCCTGCAGTTCCTGTGTCCCAGCCGGGACTATGTGCTTGGGGGACAATGCCAACACGAACACTAAAGAATATGCTGGCTGCCAGCTACAGTCTTTATTATACTGCACATTCAACCTCAACACTGAGGCACAGAAGGAGTACAAGGCTGTGTCTGGGATGTGAGTGGAGCTCATTGACAGAATGCTTGACTACTGGGGTTCATTTTTTTTAAGGAGCAAAACAGTACTAATTTCAGATTTCTGCATTTTACTATATGTAAATTTTATCTTCCTGTGGCAAGGGAAGAAAATGAGGAAACAAATACTGAGCTTGAGCAGCTCAGAGGTAACACGGAGAGATGCTTGCAACTGGGAAAGATTTGAGAAGTAGCCTGGGGGTGCGGCTCACTGGGGAGAGTGCTTGCCTAGCCTGCAGGAAGCCTGGGTGTGGTTCCCTGCAGGAGATCCTGGTGCAGCAGGCAGGGCTGCATTCCCTGCAGGAGATTCTGGTGCAGCAGGGCAGTAGTCCCTGCAGGAGGTCCTGGTGCAGCAGGCAGGGCTGCATTCCCTGCAGGAGATCCTGGTGCAGCAGGCAGGGCTGTAGTCCCTGCGGGAGGATCTGAAATCAAGGTCATCCTTGACTTCAAGTGTGAGGCCAGGCTGGGATGCGGGAGAATGAGCCAGGCACGGTGGTGCAAGCCTTTAGTCCCAGCACTCGGGAGGCAGAAGCAGGTGGATCTCTGCGAGCTAAAGGGCAGCCTGGTCTACAGAATGAGTCCCAGGACAACCAGAGCTACACAGAGAAACCCTGTCTAGAAAAACTTAAAAAAAAAAAAGATAGGTGTGTGGTTCTGCAAGCAAAATGCAGATCTAGGTCAGTGATTCTCAACCTTCCTAATGCAGCAACCCTTTAACACAGCTCCCATGTTGTGGTGACCCCTAACCATCAAAGTATTTCGTTGCTACTTCATAACAGTAATTTTTGCTAGTTATGAATCATCATGTAAGTATCTGGTATTCAGGCTATCTGATCTGTGACCTTCCAAAGGGGATCACAGCCCGCAGGTTGAGAACCACTGATCTAGGTGATAAGAGCAGTTTGTGGGGGCTGGAGAGACGGCTCAGCAGTGAAGAGTACTGCAGCTCTTGCAGAGGACCTGAGTTCAGCTTCTAGCACCCAGGTCAGGTGACTCACAACCACCTGGAACTCCAGCTCCAAGGGACCCAATGCCCTCTGCTGGCTTCTGATGAGTCTGCTTGCATTCATGTTTCTACACAGACATGGACACAAACACAATTAAAAACATAAAAACAAATCTTTTGAGATATAGATTTATTTGTTGTAGGTTCTCTCTGTTTTTCTAGATGTTTGAACTGTGCAAGTAAGTGTGTGTGGTGTGTGTGTGTGTATGGTGTGTGTGGTGTGTGTATGGTGTGTGTGTATGGTGTGTGTGGTGTGTGTATATATGGTGTGTGTGGTGTGTGTATATGGTGTGTGTGGTGTGTGTATGTGTGTGTGGTATGTGTGTGTATGGTGTGTGTGGTGTGTGTATGTGTGTGTGTATGTGTGTGTATGGTGTGTGTGTGGTATGTGTGTTTATGGTGTGTGTGGTGTGTGTATGTGTGTGTGGTATGTGTGTGTATGGTGTGTGTATGTGTGTGTATGTGTGTGTATGGTGTGTATGTGCGTATGTGTGTGTATGTGTGTGTATGGTGTGTATGTGTGTGTGTATGTGTGTGTATGGTGTGTATGTGTGTATGTGTGTGTGGTATGTGTGTATGTGTGTGTATGTGTGTATGTGTGTGTGGTATGTGTGTTTATGGTGTGTGTGGTGTGTGTATGTGCGTGTGGTGTGTGTATGTGTGTGTATGGTGTGTATGTCTGTATGTGTGTGTGGTATGTGTGTGTATGGTGTGTGTGGTGTATGTGTATGGTGTGTGTGGTGTGTGTATGTGTGTGTGGTATGTGTGTGTATGGTGTGTGTGGTGTGTGTATGTGTGTGTTGGTGTGTGTATGTGTGTGTATGGTGTGTATGGTGTGTATGTGTGTGTATGGTGTGTATGTGTGTGGTATGTGTGTGTGGTGTGTGTATGTGTGTGTATGGTGTGTATGTGTGTATGTGTGTGTGGTATGTGTGTGTATGGTGTGTGTGGTGTATGTGTATGGTGTGTGTGGTGTGTGTATGTGTGTGTGGTATGTGTGTGTATGGTGTGTGTGGTGTATGTGTGTGTGTATGTGTGTGTATGGTGTGTATGTGTGTATGTGTGTGTGGTATGTGTGTGTATGGTGTGTGTGGTGTGTGTGTATGGTGTGTGTGGTGTGTGTGTATGTGTGTATGGTGTGTGTATGGTGTGTGTATGGTGTGTGTGGTATGTGTGTATGGTGTGTGTGGTATGTGTATGGTGTGTGTATGGTGTGTGTATGGTGTGTGTATGGTGTGTGTGGTGTGTGTGTATGTGTGTATGGTGTGTGTATGGTGTGTGTATGGTGTGTGTGGTATGTGTGTGTATGGTGTGTGGTGTGTGTGTGTATGGTGTGTGGTATGTGTGTGTATGGTGTGTGTATGTGTGTGTGGTATGTGTGTGTATGGTGTGTGTGGTGTATGTGTATGGTGTGTGTGGTGTATGTGTGTGTATGGTGTGTGGTATGTGTGTGTATGGTGTGTGTATGGTGTGTGTATGGTGTGTGTATGGTGTGTGTATGGTGTGTGTATGGTGTGTGGTATGTGTGTGTATGGTGTGTGTATGGTGTGTGTATGGTGTGTGTGGTGTGTGTGTATGGTGTGTGTGGTGTATGTGTATGGTGTGTGTGGTGTGTGTGTATGGTGTGTGTGGTATGTGTGTATATGTGTATGTGTGTTTGGTGTGTGTATGTGGTGTGTGTGGTGTGTGTAGTGTGTATATGTGTATGTGTGTGTGGTGTGTGTATTCTTGCATGTGAGTGCACCAGGAACAATCCTGGCCAATCAGGTGCCAGTCCTGGCCTCTGCCTTGTTTGAGTCAGGGTCTGGTGGTATCTTCTCTACAGATCCCAGACCAGGCACTCACTGTGATCTTCCAGGAATTCCCCTTCCTCCCCCTCCAGTCTCACAGTGGGAATACGGAATTTCAGTCCGGCTTCCATACCCATCTTTATGTGGGTTCTGGACAAACTCATTCAAGCTTGGATAGTATTTGACCAATGGGAAATACTTCACCCAGCGTTTGAAATTTTAATAAAAATAAGGTGTAATAATGAAATATAAAAAAGAAGAAAACCACTTAAATTATGTCCTATTTGTTCTGCGGGGGAACATTAGGGGAAATAAGTACCACAAAATTCCCGAATTTGGTCACCAAGACATGCGTGGGGTCCCAGGCACCAGATTTCTCACCCTTTGTCTCCATTTAGCTACTACCTTCGCTCTGTCCAAAGACTTGGAGTGCAGCCCTCCGGCAACCCCTCCCTCTCAGTCACAGAGGCTTTCGTCAGGGCCACGATTGCCTTTGGTTCTCTGCTCGACGCCAGAGTGCTGGCTCCAGGGTCCCCCAATCTTTGCTGGCTCCAGGGTCCCCCAATCTTTGCTGGCTCCAGGGTCCCCCAATCTTTGCTGGCTCCAGGGTCCCCCAATCTTTGCTGGCTCCAGGGTCCCCCAATCTTTGCTGGCTCCAGGGTCCCCCAATCTTTGCTGGCTCCAGGGTCCCCCAATCTTTGCTGGCTCCAGGGTCCCTCAATCTTTGCTGGCTCCAGGGTCCCCTAATCTTTGCTGGCTCCAGGGTCCCTCAATCTTTGCTGGCATCAACTTGTCATCCACTTCCTGCATCTGCAGAAGCATTGATCTGGTCTGGCTGCCTCTGAATCTTCTGATATCCTACTGCATATGACTGCCAAGCACCAGGATAAGATGGGTACCCAGAAATGCCCCAGAGTTCCATTTGACACTGCAGGTGCTGGGTGTATATATCTACACACAAATGCCAAGACCACGAACCCTAAGCAGAGGTAGTCGAAGGGGGATCTGGGTTTGAACTCATCATGGGAGGCCCCTGGAGGAGGCAGACATTCATTCACTCACAGGGTGAAATGAAAGGCTGGGACTGAGAGGCACCACCCTAGTGGTTGGTAGCCAGGAGTCAAAGGAAGGATGTTGTAACCCTTCCCCTGGTCATACTTCCTCTCCTAGATTCAGGGAGGTACTGAGGCAGGGTAAAGACACTAGAACTGGAGGAGGGGCACAAATGCCCCAGGTGGGGACGTTTGTTTCTTTTCCCTCAGGTGTCCCCTGCGTAAGCCAGAGTCTGGGTGAGCTAGGAGTGTGTGGCGAGCCTGCATGGGAGGGGTGCCTGCTAAGAGAGAGGGAAGCCGCTGTGGATCTGAGGTTTCCTGAGCCTGAAGCAATCGTCTGTATTCAGAGCCTGTCTTTGGAGTCATCATCCCCTTTCCCCCACCCCATGTCTTCACTTTCGAGATGTTAAAAGACTCTATTGCTGAAAATGGTGGTGTTCCCTGTCATGCACTCTGTAGGCTGAGGCAGGAAGACGGGGAGTTTCAGGCCAGCCTGGGCTACATAGCAAAACCCCGCTGATAATAATCTGTTCCTGATTCATCACAGTTCCTCAGTCCCCTCCCCCTGTGCCTGCTCCCCCCCACTCCAAGGCATTTCTCTTAAAACTAGGAGGTTCTTGGTTTCAAACTGTCTTCCCTGAGTCTGGTTCTTGGGTTATGTTAGGGGCCTCTTTCTGCCCTCAAACAGGAACCAGATTAAAGGGCGTGAAGTACCCGAGGGAACTTAAAGACCTCACACCACTCTTAGTCACTTCCTCACACCAGCCAAGTGTGGCTTTCCAGGGGTGGTCTCTCCCCACATCCCCCCAGCTCCCCATCCCCGTCACCCTGGGGCAGAGGAAATGGGAGGGGCTGGGGCCAGTTAAGCACCTTCTTATTACATCTGGGCCTTCCTTAGCTTTTTGTTTGCTTCCTGTACTGGGTCTTGTTGTGTAGACCAGGCTGGCCCGGAACCCACTGCGTAGACCAGGCTGGCCCGGAACCCACTGCGTAGACCAGGCTGGCCCAGAACCCACTGTGTAGACCAGGCTGGCCCGGAACCCACTGTGTAGACCAGGCTGGCCCGGAACCCACTGTGTAGACCAGGCTGGCCCCTGGCCGGGAAAGTAACACCATAATACATTAGGCAAAGGAAACAGCCCAGCGAGGACAAGGTTCGTAATGGGGCCCCTTGCCTCAGATGGGGAACTTGGGGGCACGTGACTCACTCAGGCCATTAAGGCCAGCAGAACAGGGGTTAGTTTAGTCTTGACCTTCAGGCCTCATCTCAGTCCCTGGCTATGTCAGAATTCCAACTGGGTAAGTAGGGGATGCCTCCGTTCTACAAGGGAAGGGATGGGAGTGTGGGGTGTGTGTGTGTGTGTGTGTGTGTGTGTGTGTGTGTGTGAAAAGTCAGGTTGTGGTGCTCACGGTTACACCCTCCCCCCCCCCAGAACCAACCAGTGCAGGTGAGAGTTGGGTTTCCTAAGCCCCAGGAACAGCAGGGTGTGGGCATGAAGTCAGGAGGGGTGAAAGGTAACCTGGGGTACGTGAACCTCTAGAGGAAGTGAGATGTTGACGTCTCGGTAAAGAACACATCGTGGGCTGGGGATGTAGATCAGAGGGCTCCTTAGCAGGCTTGAGGCCCTGGGTGACAGCCCCAGAGGCTCAGACTGGGCCTGGTATATGTCTCCTGCAGTCCCAGTGCCAGAGATGTGGGGCAGCAGGACTGAGGGTCAAGTACATGTACTCTCTGCGTAGAGACTTCGGGGCGTTTGAAAGCATCTGAGACTATAGGAGACCCCTAAAGTGGTGTAGCTGTGGCATACACCTTTAACCCCAGCTCTCAGGAGGCAGAGGCAGGCGGATCTCTGTGAGTTCAAGGACAGACTGTTTCACAGAGTGAATTCCAGGACAGTCAAAGCTACACAGAGAAACCCTGTCTTGAAAACAAAACAAAACAAAATCTCCTAGAGAATATTTTCCCGCATCTAAGATGGCCACAGGGTGGTAGAGCCCTGGCTTTGACTCCAGAACCACAGAAAACAGGCATGACACACACTAGGCAGCCTAGTTCCCCGAGGGGGAGGCAGGAGGATCAGCGAACTTGAGGCCTCCAGAGACTCTGTCAACAGGAAAGAAGAGACAGAAAGGTGGGGGACACACCCTTTGGGAGGGTAGGGGGAGAGGGAGGAGGGAGCTGGAGGCAGATATGATCAAGAGACTTTGTATATATATGAAATTGTCAAAAAATAGAAAGTGGAAGGAGGAGAAAGAAAAAAAGAGGGAAAAAAAGAGAAACTGTGAAATGTACATTTAACCAGGCTTGGGAAGCCAGTGGAAGAAGATTCCTCTCACATACACTTCTTCATCCTACAGATTACATACAGCTCGCGAGCTTGGTGCTGGGAGGGCTCCTTCTCGTGCCTGTCGTCATTCTGTCTGTCTGCCTGTGCCGGATCCATCAGAGAGGTGAGCCCTACCGCCACCTCCCACCACCACCTCCCACGCCACCCACAGCTTGCCCCACACATCCCTCCTCCTGTGAAGGCAGAAGTCCCATGGGGCCTGCCAGGCTCCGTTAGGAAAGATGAGAACAGTGCCCAAAGGGCTGGGCTTTGACTGTGGTTCCCGGGGCAGCTGGCAAGTGGGGAGTGGGGTGACAGTGTGTTGTGGGAGGCTGTGCTGGGGTAGAGGAGAGCTGGGATGGGGTGGAGGAGAGCTGGGGTGGTGTGGAGGAGAGCTGGGGTGGGGTGCCATTCAGTGTGAGGCTCTGTCCTAGGGTGGATGAGCCACTTTGGGGTGCCGCTCTGGAGTGGGGGAGCCGGGAGGGTCTTTCTGAATCCCCTCCTTTTTTTTCTTCCAGTGAAGAGACTGGAAAGGAATAAGGTGAGTCTGGAGGTTGAGGGGAGATGAGGGGAGACCCAAGTAGGGAATGAGGCGGGATGTAGGGGTGGGAGCCAAGAGAAAAGGGAAGAGGAAGTGGGGGGAGAGAAAATGAGAGAGGCACAGAGAGAAATGAGGCAATAAGAGGAGGGCAGAGGACAAAGCAACTCCAGAATGACAGCCAGGAAAGGAGAGAGGAGACGAGAGAGACAGAAGGGGTCCAGGACAGTCTGGACTACACAGAGAGACCCGGTCTCAAAACAATAACAACAAAAGAGAAGAGAGAGGAGGGGAAAGCGGCCAGCTGTGTGGCTTAGTTAACGGCATCCGTGTAGCGTGTACAGAACCCTGGGTTTGATTCCCAGCACAGCATAAAATGAGAGCAGTGGTGCACACCCAAAATCCCAGGGAGACACAGGGAAGCTTGTCCCCAGCTACATACCCAGTTGAAGGCCAGCCTGAGCTACATGAGACCCAGTCTCAGAAAAGGAAGGGGTTCTATGAAAACCTTGCTGCAGCCTGCCGTGGTGACCTGGGCCTGGAACCCCTGCACTGTGGGGTGCAGACAGGCAGGTCCTAGGGGCTCTCAGGCCACCCAGCCTAGTGGGAAACCAAATTTCAGTTCTAGTGAGTGGCTCGGTCTTAATAATAAAATAATAATAACAATAATAATTAGAAACTATTAGAAAGATGTCCGAGCCTTCTGGCCTACACAAGTACCTACACAAGCAGAGGTCGTCACACATATACGATAGATAGATAGATAGATAGATAGATAGATAGATAGATAGATAGATGATAGATGATAGATAGATAGATAGATGATAGATAGATAGATGATAGATAGATAGATGATAGATAGATAGATAGATAGATAGATAGATAGATAGATAGATAGATGGAAGGAGGAAAAGCAAGAGAGAAAAAGCCCAAGATAGATTGGCTGAGAGTCAAGGAGAAACATCGGTGAGAGTAAAGAATGAACACTTGGGTGAACAAGGGAAGTTTCAGAAAAGAAGGAAAAAGGAGACTGAGGCATCAGAGAGAAAGGTGGGAGGACTGAGCGTGGCACCCTGAGCCCTCATCCCTCCGCAACTCCACCAGGCGCAGACCCTGGAGCAGGAGCTCCACTATGCGTCTCTGCAGAAGCTGCCAGTGTCCGGCAATGATGTCACAGACAGAGAGGACGGCGAAGGCATGAAGGACGACCTCAGCACTGACTATGCCTGCATCGCCAAGAACAAGCCCACCTGAGCACCCCCAAATGCCCCCCTCGATCTGGGCGGGTGGTTAAAGATGCCCTGGGGTCACCTAGTAAAAACTGCTTCCCCACTTCTGTGTCAGGCTTCTCCCTAAGTCTCCAGACCATGGCTAGCCTTTCCCCCTGGTGGGGTCAGTTGTCACTGAGTGAGGCAAGGCGGTTAGGAATCCCAGCTCCTCTAAAAGCCAGGAAACCTTAGTGGTCCCCAAGGTACAATTGACAAGGGGTCAAATCGGCTCTGATAATCTTCATTCTCAGCTGCTGCGGCCTAGCCTCAGCGCCCAGGACAGGCAGGTGTGGCTGGGAGCGGCTCTAAGCATTAAAGGCAGGAAGTCTGTCCCCGGACCTTTCAGTGTCAATCCTGGAAGAAGGGACAGCTGGGGTGGGGGTGGAGAGAAGCATGGGGGTGTCTGGAGAAGGAAGAAAATTCATGAGAGTCCTAAGGAGGAGGGAGGAGCAGATTTATTGCTGGTCTTGATAGTGCTGGGTCACTGAGATACACTCACTCCTCACAGGCTGTGGGAGGGGCGCCGTGTGTTCCCACGTGACAGGGGCCTGGGAGAAACAGCAAGGGGTGGGGAGTTGCTGCTCAGAGCTAGCACCAGAAGCTCTCTCCTTGCAGTCTGTTCCCCCCATTTCTGCCACCATTGCCCCCCGCTCAGCAACTCACATTTGCCCTGATAATAGAGGGTACTACCCATGGCCACAGAGAGAAAACTGAAGGCGTAGAATCCAGCCCGAAGGAGGATACTTGTGTGGACTGCTTGCTCTGAGCTGGAAGCTTGCTGAGGAGTCCCTGAGGCAGAAGGAGCTCGGGAACTCAGGGCTGGGGACAGCCCTTAACTCCCAGGAACATTGCAACTTGGGGTCTCCCACCACCTCACCTTTCCCCACCAACAGCCGGGTCCCGTTTCCTGTTCCGATGCCCAGGCCTAGCACCTCCACCCTGCACACATAGATCCCGGAGTCACGGCTTTGAACGTCCTGTATGATCAGCTCTGCCTTGTGGTCCCTGATGAATCGAGGAACAACAGCAAAAGAGGCCACACGACCCCTGAACTCTGGGGTCATGTTGCTCACCTGCGTGCCTGGGGCCACTTTGTCTCGGTACCATGTGACGGAGCCAATGGCCAGTGTCCCTCGGCTGGCATTGAAAGAGCAGGGCAGGAGAGCGGTGGTGCCCTCCTGGACACGAATCTCTGGGGGCTGAGACACCCAGAGAGCACAGGATCCTGGGAAGAAAGCAAATATCCAGAGAACACTACCCAGTTACTCCAAAGAGAAAGGCATTTGGAGGACACCCCAGCTTTCCTCGTGGGGTGTGTGTCTCAGCAAACCCTTTCCTCTTTCTTCACTAATTTAATTTCTTAGTTTTCAAAGCCTTTCACACACCAACTCCACCCATATCCAGCCCACCGTCTCTAGAAACCATTCTGCTCAACTTGATCCTCACAGTATACTTGAAGCTCATGGATGGATGTAGCTGCCTAGTTAAGGAACATCATTGTGGGATCTCTGTGATATTGTTATTAAGATGGGAGTTGGTTTTGCTTTATGTTTGCTGGGGGTTTTGTTTTGATTTTTGTTTTCTGTACACTTGATACACAAACATAGATGCAGGCAAAATACCAATGCACATAAACTTAGTTTTGTTGGCTTTTTTGTTGTTATTTTTTGTTTTGTTTTGTTTTGTTTTTTGGATTTTTCGAGACAAGGTTTCTCTGTAGCTTTTGGTTCCTGTTCCTGGAACTAGCCCTTGTAGACCAGGCTGGCCTCGAACTCACAGAGATCCGCCTGCCTCTGCCTCCTGAGTGCTGGGATTAAAGGCATGCGCCACCACCGCCCAGCTAGTTTTGTTTTGTTTCGAGACAGCATTTCTCTGTAGCTTTGCTGTCTATCCTGGTACTCGCTCTTATAGACTAGGCTGGCCTTGAACTCGCTTAGCTGAGGATGCCCTTGAATTTCTGGCTCATCCGAGTGCCAGTTTGTGCCGTGCCCGGGGTCAAACCCAGGGCTTTGTGCACAGTGGGCAAACACTCTACCGCTGATCCCCAGCCTCAGCCCAACTTTTAAAATTTTGTTTATTTTTATGTTATGTGCATTGGTATTTTGTCTGCATGTGTATCTGTGTTTAGGTGTCAGAACACCTTCAGTCCCAGCTCTCGGGAGGCAGAGGTAAGAGAATCTTTGTGAGCTGAGGCCCATCTGGTCTACATAGACAGTTCCAGGCCAGCCAGGACTACATAGAGAGACCCTGTCTCAACACCCTCCTCTCAAATTATAGTAACTAGGTGTGGGGATTTATAACTATAATCCCAACACTTGCGAGATAATTGTATATTTGTGCCCTATCTAATAAACTTAATAATCTAATCAACTGCACACATCAAGGTAAGTCCTCAAGGACGAACACAGGAGTGCTAGATGGCTCAGCTGGTAAAGGCCCTGCCACAGACCCTAATGACCTGAGTTTGAGTCCCGGGACCCACGTAGCAGAAGGAAAGAACAGACTCTTGCAGGTTATTCTTTGATCTGTGTGAGCCTTGGCAAGTACGTGCTCCACCTCCAAAATAAGTTCATGTACTTTAAAAAATTAAAACCACAGCCAGGCGGTGGTGGTGGCGCATGCCTTTAATCCCAGCACTTGGGAGGCAGAGCCAGGCAAATCTGTGTGAGTTCAAGGCCAGCCTGGTCTATGGCGTGAGTTCCAGGACAGGCTCCAAAGTTACTCAGAGAAACCCTGTCTAAATAAATAAATAAAAAGATTTTAAAAAATTAAAAATAAAAATAAAATAAAACCATCAAAGAAAGAAAGTCAGCTGAGTGTGTTAGTATGAGCCTCTAATCCCAGCACTCAGGAAGCTAAGAGATGAGGACTGGAAGGCCAGGGCCAGGCTGGGCTACACGGCCGGAGCTAGGTATGCACTCTTTTGGCAGCATGCACGCAGCCCTGGCTTTGGCCCCAGCCAGGCATAGTGGTGCACCACTCTAGTCAGTGGGCATGAGAGAACTAGTTCACAGTCCTCCTTCACTACATATCTGAGATCAGCCTAGGCTGCTGAGACCCTGTCTCAGGAAACAAACAAGGAAAATAACACCAAGAGCCAAACTCAGAATGCTATCCCACCCCTTTCTCCTGGGGCCTTTCAGGTTTACCTTTTTAGAAAGGAGGCTGAGCAGAAAAGGGGCTCCGGGATGGATGACAGAAATGACCCTTTCAGGTGGGGGCCATCTAGCAGAACTGTCTTCTGAAAGAGCCATGGTCAACAGCTTTCTAAAGTGCTTTCTGCATTCCCCCGGGCACGGTGTTTGCCCCCCTCCAGGCACCCTCTGGAGCACCCAAGTCTGGCGTCTTCCTTTCCTCCCCCACCCGTGGGTCCCGAGAAAACTCCCAGTCACCTGGATAAACCACGATGCAGATCAGCAACAGCGCCTTGGCCATGTCTCCAGCCGGCAAGGCGAGGCGGACCTCACAGAGCGCTCTAATAGGGGAAGAATGGCCTGCTACCCGCAGCGAAGCCTAGCACAATGCCAAGGACCTGCACGGCTTGGGGCTCTCGGCATCGTATGCCATGTCCTGCCGCGGAGGGAGATGGCACTGGTGGAGATGCCGGGGCTCTCTGGAGGCAGCTAGTGGTCAGGTGGTGTACCAGGACAGGATGTCCTCCCATCAGATTTTACAAGAGGGGGTGGGTGAGACCAGGATGTGGGTCTCTCACCTTCTGAGGTTCAAGACCAGTTCACCCAGAACAGTTAGCCCTCCTCCTCGCCCCCTTTGCTCAGCCATGCCCAGGCCCGCTGTCTCCGTGCCTCCTCAGTCTGGCTTTTTTCCTCTGGGCTGTCCTAGGATTTCTATAAATGGGGCGGGAGAGGTTAGGGGAGCAAGCTAATTGGTGGTGGTAGGTGCAAGGTTGCCGCGGACTGTGTCTGGAAGCTTCATGTGTACAACTGGCCCATTCTCCCAGCCATGGAGACAGAGGAAGAGTCCCGTGTACAAGGGGGTCATTCTCCAGCCATGGTATCACGTGTACAAGGGGCCCATTCTCCAGCCGTGGAGACAGAGGAAGAGTCCCGTGTACAAGGGGCCCATTCTTCAGCCATGGTATCACGTGTACAAGGGGCCCATTCTCCAGCCGTGGAGACAGAGGAAGAGTCCCGTGTACAAGGGGCCCATTCTCCAGCCGTGGAGACAGAGGAAGAGTCCCGTGTACAAGGGTCCCATTCTCCAGCCGTGGAGACAGAGGACTAGCTGCTGTTAATGGATATGTTTGGCTCATTTGTTTTCGCATTTCCTGGAAAGGGACATCCCCGCAGGTCTGCTTTTCTGTGACCACTACACAGACTTACCCACCGGGAAATCCAATCATTTGTCATTTTATTGATGGTTTAACCACATTTATTGGGAATCTACAAAGTGCCCATATGTGTTCACAGGCACAACGGCAGACATCTTGTTACCTATAACTGAGGTCCCACAGTGCCAGGATCCCCAGGCATGGCACTGGGAGGAGAGGCCGTGAAGTGTGCCGTGCAAACGTGGCCCAGCCTCGCCATCATCTCTCTTGCTCTATTTATTTTCATGTTGCCAGGCAGTGGTAGCGCACACCTCTCATCCCAGCAATCAGGAGGCAGAGGCAGGCGGATCTCTTAAATCTGAGACCAGACTCATCTACAGAGCAACTTGGACAGCCGGGGCTACACAGAGAAACTCTTGAAAAACCAAAGAAGAAAAAGTGATTTGGAGCTCTCTCGGTGCTCTCTACCGAACTGCTCGGCCACCTGGATAACCACACAGGTCACCCAGTCTGGGAAGGAGTCGCTGGGTCATCTGGCCTCCTGGGAGCTGTGGAGCAGCCTCCCTGCTAGGGGGACCCAGGTGCCGAGAGCAGGTGTGTGCTGCCCCCTGGTGGCTGCAGAGCCTGAAGGCACTTAGGCTATTCTCTACAGAGCCTCAATTCCCTGTTCTCTTCATTCCCAGCCCAGAGTCAGTGTGGAGGATACTGTCTTCTTTGCCATAAGCCTATGTTTGGGAAGGGAGGGGAGGTACAATGGCCCTTTGACTTGAGATGAAAGTTGCGCTTTCTATCATTTCCCTTAAGTTTTATTTTTATGTGTAAGCGTGTTTTGTCTGAACGTATGTCAGGCTACCACACGTGCGCCAGATGCCCACAGAGACCAGAAGAGGGCACAGGATGCCCTGGGACTGGAGTTACAGGGGGTTGTGAGTTGCCATGTGGGCTCTGGGAATCGAACCTGGGTTCTTTGGAAAAGCAGCAGGTTTCCTAAGTGTTAAACTGTCCACCCAGCCCTCAGACCGTGTCTCCGCAGACACGGCAGCAGTTCATGACTCAGGAATGACGGTTTACGGGTCAAGCCGTTCTGAACTGCACCCTGCATTGACTACTTGTGTGCACAGAACCACAGCCATGAACTTCCAGACTCCCCCAGGCTAGCTACTTGATTTACATAGTTCTCTTTCCTCCCTTGAGGGCTGGGGTGACCCAGGAGATAACTGAGCCTAAACATAGGGGGGCTCTGCTCCCCCCTTCTCTTTCTGCCACCCAAGGCTTCTGACCCTTTGCCATGGCTGTGGACTCTGGAGACATTGCCTGAATGTTTTGTTCGTTAGTCCATGTCTTATCAGGGTTATTACTGCTGTCATGAAACACCATGACCAAGGGAAACTTGGGGAGGAAGACTATCTGGCTTACACCTCCACATCACTGTTCATGATCCAGGGAAGTTAAGACAGGAATTCATACAGGGTGGGATCCTGGAGGCAGGAGCTGAGGCAGAGGCCTTGGAGGGGAGCTGCTTACTGGCTTGCTCCCCATGACTTGCTCAGCCTGCTTTCTTATAGAACCCGGGACTGTAGTAGTAAGAGCGGCGGGGCTGCGTCCCCAGCACCCCGGCTGCCTGGCTAGCTTATGCCCGAAATAACAACACACAAACTGTATTCATTTAAACACTGCTTGGCCCATTCTCTTCTAGGCTAATTCTCACATATTAATTTAGCCCATTTCTAATCATCTGTGTGTAGCACCCCAAGGTGCGCTTACCGGGAAGATTCTAGCCTAGTCCATCCTGGGTCGGAGCTTCATCGCGTGTGTCTGCCCAGGAGAGGGGAGTATGGCGTCTCTGTCTGAGGCCTTACCTCACTTCCTCTTCCTCCCAGCATTCTGTTCTGTTTACTCCACCCACCTATGTTCTAAGCTATGAGCCCAAGCAGTTTGTTTATTACTTAACCAATGAAATCAACAGATTGATATATGACACTCCCACATCACGGGACCACGAGCCCCTATCAATTATTGTTAAGAAAAAGCCCCAGAGGCTTGCCTGCCTACAGATGGATCTTCTGCAGGCATTTTCTAAGTTCAGGTTCCCTTCTCTCAGATGATTTTTGCTTGTGTCAAGTTGACATAAAACTATCCAGGGCAGCAGGACGGCTGTGGCGCACGCCTTTAATCCCAGCACTTGGGAGGCAGAGGCAGGCGGATCTCTGTGAGTTCGAGGCCAGCCTGAGCTACAGAGCTAATTCCAGGCCAGGCTCCAAAGCTACACAGAGAAACCCTGTCTTCAAAAACCAAAACAAACAAATAAAAACAAAAATCAACAACTATCCAGGGCAGCTCATCTAGAATAAACCATGATGTGTGTGTGTCCAAGAACAATTTTCTCTATCTCTGAGACTTTCTAAGGACTTTATTAGTATCTATTTATTTATTTGAGACACAGTCCTAACCATGTAGTTCTTAGTTGGCCTATAGACCAAGCTGGCCTCCACCTCACAGAGAGCACAGAGCTCCTCCTGCCTCTAATTCCTGACAGCTGAGATTAGAGTTGTGTGCTGCCGCCACCACAGCCCAGCTGTCAATTTAATATTTTAATTAATTAATATAATCTCACTCTGCAGCCCAGGACACTGGAAACTTTAGTATGTAGACCAGGTAAGCCTCAAATTTCCAGCAACCTCTTGAATTAAAAAATGAGTTCTTGGGGTTAGAGAGATAGCTCAGTCATAAGAGCACTGGCTGTTCTTCCGAAGAACTTGTGTGGATGGCAGCTCACACTCTCATGTAGCTCCTGCTTCGGGGTTCTGTTCACTCAGCCTCTAGAACAGAAGTGCTACACAGACAGACATGCGGGCAAAGCCCCCCCCCCACACACAAACACAGTTAAAAAATGTATTTGTCAAACTGAGCAGTGGTGCTCTGTCCTGTGTGTCTTTATTAAAACTGATCTTCAGCGTCAGACATGGGAGAAATGGCTCCAAGTCTCAGCACTTGGGGGCTGAGGCGGGAGGATTGGTTGCTCAAGGTCGGCTTCCAGGCAGCTTGAGCAGCGTGAGCCCTGTCTCAAGAGGATGAAAGGAGAAAAGGCTGTATGGCTTTCCCGTCGCGGGTCACCTGAGATTCACCCAAGGGCTACAAAGACTGCGGAGAAACCTCGGTGGAGCAGGTGCCTAAAGAGGAGTGCTGGTCTTGGAGGAGGTTTGGGCCACTGTGACCTGGTGGGAATGAAGCCACGGGGACAGACGCACAGTGTCCTCCATCCTACTGTCTCCCTGTGGCCTGCACCGGGCAGCCTCCCAAGCAAAGAGCAGAGCTGGAGAGAGAATGAAAGTCAGTGGAAGATCCTCAGGGACCTACACACACACACACACACACACACACGCACGCACGCACGCACGCACGCACATTCACATACGCGCGCACACACACCTTGCACTTTCTTTTTTTTTTTTTTTTTTTTGGTTTTTCGAGACAGGGTTTCTCTGTGGTTTTGGAGCCTGGAGCCTGTCCTGGAACTAGCTTTTGTAGACCAGGCTGGTCTCGAACTCACAGAGATCCCCCTGACTCTGCCTCCTGAGTGCCAGCCCACCTTGCACTTTCTGACCAGAGCATTCTTTTCCAGGCAGCATAGTCTACAGTCCTGGGCCTAACACTAGTCTCACCCCTTGGAGAGACCTAACAAAGGGCCTTTGCAACAGAGGTCTCTAACCTCCCTCACAGGGTTCTAACAGATCCTTCCCCATCTCCATCTTTTCTGGTACATTCTGTTTTGGGGTTTTTTCTTTGTTTTATTTATTGTGTGTGAGAGAGAGTGCATGCCTGGAGGAGTCAGAGGTTAATTTGTGGAGGTTTCTTCCTTCCTTCCTTCCGCCAGGCAGGTTGTAGGCTTCCCACTCAGGCCTTGGAGCTTGGCAGCACTGTAACTCTCTGAGCCATTTCTCTTGCCCTTGCTTTCGTTTCCAGAGCAAGTCCCAGGCTGACCTAGAACTCTTTTAAGGCTGCTTCCCTCAAACCTTAGGCACTCCTGACTCAGCCTCCTCGGTGCTGGGAAATACAGTCCTGCACCTAGGCTAGCTTTTTAAAAATCCCTTTAATCTTTGGTTACATGCCCCGCCCCCAAGCTTTAGTCCAGCTCCATCTGCACCTGACCTCTGGGCCGAGGCGCACATGCTCCAGCCAGGCAGACTGCTCTTGCTTCAAGGCCTGAGTTTGCTGCTCCTCTTGTTCTTCCCCATATTATACTAAGATATGCAACCTCCAATACCCCTGCTATCTCCTAAGTGACAAAGGTTTAAAAGGGCATCTTCTGTGTTTTATAATAAGACTCTTTCAACTGGGCTTAT